AAGTTTTCTGGTTGCTCTATTCTTAAATTTTGCTACTGTACGCAGTTTTCAGTATCAGATCTATCAAAAGTTTGATATCATCCTTCTTGCATAGAACTGAGAGGTGTTTCCCTAATTCTTTATTTTAGACAATATTGAATAACTGCGCAAAAGTAATTTTGGTATTAGGTATATACAGTTATTAGACACAGTTATTATACAGTAACATTATAGAAGATAAATGTATAGTCATGAGAAAAAGTAGTATGAAAGAAATTACAGCAAATGTTCAAACCAAGGATGTTCAGTCAAGAATACATACTTTTTCCTGCCAGGCTTCAGGCTATTACTGGCTTTGCATTCCTGTGCCAAACTGGTGCAACCCTGTGCCAAACTGGTGCAACAGGTACACGCATCAGTTTCGTGTATATACTGTGTGCACAATGGACACACCTTCCTTAGGCAACATTGTGACAGTAATATTCATCACACTTTAAGCTACTTCAGGGCATCCCCCATGTTACCATTTTCTCCACTGGTGCTGTTTTTTCAAGTGATGATTGCGAGAGTTAAACATCCCTCTTTGTCTAAGGTAATTTTTGGGAAGACATGGAATGAAACAGAATGTTGGCAGAAGCGTTTTAAGTCAGAGTTTAGAAGGAAAAAGAAACCTTATATCCAGGAATGCATAGGAAGGAGAAAAATTCAGCTTTTCCACGCTCTTGCTGGAATGTGGAGATGCATCAAACTAGGATGATATTCATGGTGAACATTCCCTTCTCTGAGTATTATAGTTCCCTGTATCTTGGGCTGTCGTTAGTCTTCAAATGTTCTGGTTTTGATCTGTGTGCTAAGTCTTTTGTTTCTTAAAATATTCCCGTCAAACTTTGTTTTTACTGCTCATAGAAACGTCAAGGCGGTGAGATTGCACTGGTTGCTGTTTCTTCATTTGTAATTGTTAGATCAGAACATTTTTAACTGCTGCTATAGAAGTTGAGTTCTGTAGTGTTCTACATGGGATTTAGATAAACTTAACAAAATTTTGTTTTTTTCTGCTTAGTTTTAATCGTTTGGATTTACCACCATATAAAAGCTATGAACAACTAAAAGAGAAGCTGCTCTTTGCCATTGAAGAAACAGAGGGATTTGGTCAAGAGTAGAAGTGGCTTCTAGTCAAAAAGGAGATCTTGCATAATAAAAGGCCCAGCCAACTAAAATTGCACACTTAATTGTATATAAGCTTTTTGTTCTGTACAGTGATCTTTCTGGAACTCTAAAAGTATAATTGTTCTCTGTTCTTCCACAAAGATATGCAAAACAGTTCAGCCTTTTCTACTTTTATTTATTGCCCTTCCAAAAGACCAGAAAAAACCCTCATAAATTTTGAAAGCAAACGAGAGACTTATTTAAAATATATATAAAAAATATAAATATATATACTAATAGGCTCTAGTTTTATAGAGCTTTAAGTGTATGAAAAGTTGCAGCCATTTAAAAGGGCCTGGATTTGCTTTATCTTGGCTTTATTATTCAGAAAAATGTTTAAACTGCTCTGCGTTCTCTCTTAAGAAACATCTCCAAGTTTGTTTTATTGCATGGCTGTTCTAAAAGGTGTTAAAGGCTTAGGCCAAACGTATCCTAAATATGTAGAAAGATGCTGCTGGTATTTGAGACGACAGAATATGTTGTTCTGTCTGTTTAATTTTTTTAAATACGTGAATAGCTGATATATCCCTCTCTCCTGATGTAGCCAAGGTCATGAATAAAGCCTTTACTACTTGCACAAGAGTCATGTACAATAAGATGAATGTGATTTAATGTTCAAAGGAATCGGTGCCACTGTTCTGACTTACTGTAGGAGCTGAACAGAATATTTTAATTCATTTGAGCAGCATTGAAATTTGTTTACATATTACCTTGGGTTATTACCACGAGGATGTTAGGTAATCTTCAAAGAAAAAATAATAAAAGAGAAAATATTACACATTCTCTCCTTGGTCTGGTGTCTTACAGGTTTCTTTTTTTGTTGTTGTTTCTTCTTTCCCTTTTCAATCCGTGATGTCCTTTTTACAACTTTGTAGAGTATATTAATGTAAACTGAGCTATAAGGGTATACAAAAGGTAATGTGAACTTTGCTGCTTTCTATGTTCATGTTCAGTTTCAGTTATTGGATCTAGTAAACCCGAATAAAATGAAAGTTACATAAGCTCTGCACAGATAAAAATATTCTTAAGTATTAAATACTCTCATTCCGCTTAAGTTCTTACAGAAATTCAGATGTATCTGAATTAAGTATGTCTAAAACCTGTCGTTCTTTTATGTAGGTCAAGTTTGTCCTAAGTGCACAATAATATAAAGCCATTTTTAAATCAGTTTTATTGGCATTGAGGGCATTTGCTGAACTGCAAAGATGTGTTTTCAAAAAAAATAATAATTTAACACCTTATCCATGTGAATTATATTAAATGCTACTTTTAGCAAACCGTGCTTCCTTACTATAGTCAAAACATGTTTAAAATTACCATTTGTATTATGCTTTAAATATTAACTGTAAATTCCATTACATTTAACTTATACAGAATTTTGTACACACATGAAAATGATGTCCTAACACTTCTGTAACATATCATATTGCACTGTTAAAAGTGTACATGCAGAAAAAATAGCTATATCTGTTCATGTATCTTTCCAATGCAACAACTGAATTCTGCCAAAATTTTATTTTTCTACATATTGGATTCTCTTCAGGCTTTGTACTCAATAGGCACAGCTTTCTGCGGAGCTGTTAACCTGATGTAACTTTGGTAACACAGCGGTGGTGCACCAGGCTCAACAGACTGCTGTCTTACAGGAACTTCCTGTAAGAGCTTTAAAAATTTCCACCACTTTTGAAGGTTTTTTCATACTACGCCAAGTATCTTCTGCAAAACCATTTTCATCAATACAGCATTAAATTAATTTCAAGTGCAAATCCACTTAAATTATGACTTATGCTGGTTAGAATGGAGGAAGCTTTAAAAAAAACCCACCCCGAAACTAAATGTCAAAGGCCGGGCAACAGAAGTGTGTGGCTTGCCTAAAAGACAATTAAGAGGGTTAAATGTCATAGAGTTGAACTTCATGAATTTGCACTAATGAATGACTTGGTCAACCACTACCAACTGCTGAATTCTGTGAATCTGTGAGTAAGTGGAAAAAAAAAATAATAAAAAAGACAGCACATCACAAGAATGTAGTTGCTTTATTGTTTTGATAATTTCAGCTGTCTCACAACTGCGATAGTTTTTCCTGCAGGTAAGGGTTAGTGAGCAAGGAAAAAACCAAACCCAGTGGCCTTTCTGCACATGTATATGGTCTACTAATTGGTTTCAAAGGACTGACTAAAACCATGGCTCTTATGAGAAAAAAAAAACACCACTACTTCGGTGTGTGTAGTTACAGTAAACTTGGACTTTTCTGGGAATTTGAGTAATACCACCCTGTAACTTTTTCTTTTCCTGTTTGCGTTCCCCATAATTCAGCTGTACTTGGGGGGGAGGGAAGACGGCAAAGAAAGGAAAGGCAGCAAAGGCTGGAGATCAGCTGGGGGAACCAGCGAGGTTAATGCTACTTGAAGGAACTGTGTAGTTCGTGGGCTCGGTTTCTTTCTGCAAGCAACTCAGCTGCTCTTCTCCAAATGCTCAACCATTTTTCCTTGGTACCTGGATAGCCTTTCACTTTGTGCAGACATGGTTTTCTGCAGCAGCAAAGGCACAGAAGTAGGGTGCCTCAGCCACAGAGCTACTAGAAGCGGTTTTGTGCATGGCAGATGTTTCTGTAGTGTATGAATGCAGAAAATTTGAAGACTGTTTCTGAAATGCTGCATATTATCCACCCCAGGACTTTGATATATTGAAGACTTCGTTTTAATGCTCTACTAATAGAAAAATAGGAATTACTTGATCATAGCGGAGAAAACAGTCTTTTAACTAGTTTTGTGACCTGAGGTTAGAATTAAAACTCTAGATTGTCTCTCAGTTCTGGATTTTTACTACGGACTTGGCACAGGCTTGGTTTGTTAGTCTAAGCAATTTATGCCTTTCTTCATCTTCCTGCTATAGACTGCAATATCCTTTTCTATTAAAGCAAACACTAGGTATTAACAGTCACTTTCTTCTAGATTGTTCGACTTTCTACTAGCAATACCATGCATATTTGATTGCCTACCATTTTTTCATTATTTGCTCCTATTTTTCTGTTGGGTAATCAGAATATATTGTTTGGGAAATTGTAAATATTTTCTGTACTAGGTATCTAACCTAGGTTAATTTATTTTTCTGGTGAAAGTTTCTGCTAAAATAGTAGCACGAACAAAAAAAAAGTTTCACTTTACCTCTGCAAACAGAAGTTTGTGCCTCTAAATTGTAGCTCCCTCCTAATGCATTAGGAGTATGCATTCCTCCTGTGATTGTCATCTAGGAGAAGGAGTGCATACGTCCCGCAAACATTGTGCAGCCACTAAATCCTCACAACTCACAGCTTCTCAATGTGCAAATAGGTTTTCACAGTTCACAGAAAGCTTCTCACTCCATGTGCTGGTATCACCCATAAAAGGATTTTTTTTACGTGTTTCGCACTTCACTTTTTTTCTTTTTTAAACCACAGCACTTTTTGCAAAGTCAAACACTAGCATTTAAGTGTATCAGAATTAAGATTGCTTGTGCAGCCTTAATGAGAAATCTATAGGAGCATCTAATAATGTGAACATATATTACTCTTGAAGGCTGTTGAACCCTACAGAAGGAGAACGCTCTAGAAAAAACTGCAGGTTTATAATTATGTCATGGCTTTGTACCTCCTTTCTGTAAAGTTATGCTAGTCATGTTTCTTACTGTTCCTCACACAACTTGTAGCTGAGCAGTGAGAAAAACTTAATTACAAACCTGCATAACCACTGCCCCAGCCTTTCCCCTCCAACATATACCCTGCTTGTCTGTGAAGCCCTTTATTCCCCTGTAAATCATGCAGGATCACGTAATGAAACAGATCTTCTAGTTGATAGTTTAATTGAAAGGAGATGGAGATTGCAGGTTTAGTCTTTCCTTTTATTAACAGCTTCCATACACCAAAGTAGTATGTGGGGTCTTTTTCCTATGCTGCTCAATTCCCATTATCTTGTTTCTTGTTATATAGAATTTAGCAACTCCAAAGCTTCTTTCTGTACCTGAAAGAAATAAATACACTCATAACAAAACAGCGGCAGGTAGATATAGACTCTTCTAGCAGAACTTACCATGCAAGCACCCAGACACCTCACCACAGTTCTGTAAATTTAGAACCCTCCTAAGACTAGTCAGTTTTCTTCCTGTAGTTCAAGATGCTCAATACTTGAAACACGAATGGGGGTAAAACCACTAAAGCAGCCAGTGCCTTCAGTGTAATTCACTTACTACATACGTGGTAGGTTTATCTGGGTTGAATACAGATAATTAGCTCTTGATTTGCTGTAGGCCAATAGCAGCATGTAGTAAGTTGTCCTATCTGTGATCGCAACCAATCAACCTTGGGTTTTCAAAACTGTGGGCAGTGGCTAAGTAAGTGTGAGAATACTGTTTGAGACTCCATTTGCCTAGGAATTCTGGGTAAAATCTAATAAAATTTGAATATGACATCTAACATCTCTATTAAAAACCAACCAACCCAACTCCTGGTCCTGACAGAGCGAGCAGTGCAGGTGATGTAAGCCAGATACCCCCTAGTGTCTGCAGTAAAACATACCCCGAAAACCTACTAATGCCTCCCTCTGCCAAAGGCAGAGACAAGATTGCCCATTTCTTTGCACAGGCCAGTTTCCTTCTTACTGGACTACCAAGTCTAGTTCCCAATGAATTTGCATTTTACACGTTGAGGCAGAGAACGGAGAGAATTCCACCTCTCCCCGTTCAGCAGCTTTGCACCCTTATAGAAGATAAGGAAATAGCTGTTTGTAGCAGGAGGCCAAGCACTGCTACACCAGGTAAGTGGTTTAACAACTTGGCTACTGCACAACAATTGCTACCAACTCCTTTTGTGGGGCTTTCTAAAGAAAGGCAGGCTTTTGTGATGGCTGGTTTCACATATGTCTCCAGCTACTAGTAACTGTCAGAAGAACTGACCAATTTCATACGTACCCGAGACCACTACTCCTTTAGGTTATTAAATTCCTATACATTTTAGAACGGAGTGGAGGAATGGAACCCTTACTTATATTTCTACTGAAAGATGTTACTGAAGGAGTTTGCTTTTGGAAGAAACAGTTCAAGCCTTATTGGAGGACCTAAAGAGAGAAACTTCAGGAGTGTTTTTTCTGAGGTTTGAAGTGCAAAATCCTACAGAACTGTTTCTTACAATTCGGACATTCAGAATGTCACAACACATTTGGGTGTTTTCTCTAACAGTTAAAGCATCTCATGCTGCAGCTTAATGCTAAATGCATTAGAGGTCAACCAACCATAAGAAAAATCAATTGGAAATCAGGCTTTGTTAGTCCTGCTGCTAACAGGATTGTTATGAATGATAACTGCAATTACTGTACTTTATACTGAACGCAGTATTAGGTCTGAACAAGTGTAATGGATTACCCTTCCTGGAAGTACTCTGTGTTTAGGTAGGAGGCAGATGCCATCCAAACCAGGATCCTCCTGAGCAGTTCCAAAGGGTAATGAAGTGTCTCATCTCACTGGAGACAAAATCTCATTGGAGATTTGCTGTCAAAGATACATTACTTCCATTTGTCTTAATTCAGATAGTGTGAAACTCTCCCTAGGGGCCTGGACAGAACTGCAATCTTAAGTTTTATCGATTTAGCAAGTTTTTGATACATCCATGCTTTATTCTGCCTCCTGTTCATGTGGTTTTTAGCTCTTGCAAAATATAACTTCTACCTTTCCTGTTTTAGGCACATGAGAAGGGAGTCTGTGTTCAGAGACAGTTACCAACATACTAGAATTTTTCAGTGTCTGGATGTAATCCTGGAATATAGGTGCTGAACTACAATTTACTCTTGAGTTAACCTTATAAAACATGCCACTGCCACGATGTCACACGTGTTGGTTACAGCATACAATTGTACTATTACAGTTTTTAACTTCCTACCTGTTTGTCCTCTTCTGTATGTGCAGGATACTCCTTTGCTTTGCTTAACCACAGAAGCGCCATCTTTTTATTGTTTAACTTCAAGTATGTCTTCCCCAAAAAGAGCAAATTTTTGCTGTAGAAATTTGGGTCGGCTGTATAGAGACAGGAGAAAAGCTTTAAATGAGAACAAGCAGCATACTATCAAAGCTATATAGCATCACTCCTTTAAATACTTATTTTGGAAAAGATGAATAGTATTTTGGCTTTGGATCAGAAGGAAGCCAATGCAAAACTTTTACTTGCTAGATTTTGGTCTCATACAGTTACGTTAGCTAGCAGCTTGTTAGCTAATATGCTAAATGAAATTAGATTCCTCACAAAGAGCTTAATGCCCACCAGCTTTGCTTTGCGGATTCTGTGCTTTTCTGGACCTAGCAGGTGCAACAGACAATGGAGCCAGCTTGGCAAGTACAGGCAAAGAAATAAAAGGCACATTTCCTAGCTTCAGACCACGCATATCGGCTTAGCTTTTGCTGCACAGGAAGAAAACTTGAACCTGATTGTACCCACATGCAACTTTTTTTAAGGAGAGATTTAAGAAGTTGCTTTTACAAAGCGTGCTTTGGCTATCAATGAATATTAAAGACTGGTCTTGCCTACTGTTCATACTTAGAGCACAGGCTTTCTCTGCTGCTGGATCTAAGGTCAGGATTCATAACACATGGAGGTGTTCTGGAGGAAAATTTTGAGATTAAGTCCACTATTCCAGTTCATAGCTACATTACTTGACACCCAGGGCAAGACACACAATAAACTTTTGCTTTAAACTTCACTGATATATATACCAATCTTTCATAAAACACTGTATTCCCTTTATCTTTCAGCCAGTCAGTTTTGCTTATGGCTTCACTCTTGAAGAAATAATAGGTCCATATTTTCATTTATGCGTGGACAGTTTTACTGCCAGTTAGACTGGCACTCTGATCCAAATAGCTTCTGAAATAATAAATTGTGCTTTCTGTTTTTCTACTTAGAATACAGAGGACTGTTGAACTTCAAGAAAATTTTTTAAAAAGTGACGTAAAATTCCCTTTTTTGCTTGCTTCTTCCCCCTGCATTCCAGTTGAATGCCCTGCAGAGGAGTACTTCATTATTAATGAAGGTACAAAGTCCACTGTAATACTTCTTCTGCAGAAAACCCTCATGTTAGTCTAAGTAATCATAGTAAGGGTGTAACATATTTTGAGAATCTCAACGAGCACAACGTTTATCAGCAGATCATACGCTATTAAGATAATACCAAAAGCTAGAGGTTTATTGCAAGTTGTCATTCATAAAAGATTATTCTGTCGCAAAAAAGCTAGAAGTATTACCTTCCTCTGCCATGTGGAAGTAATGAAGAGCCTGCAAAAGATAAGGTTGTCTTCTTTAAAATGGAGAATAAACAGAACACAGTAGTCAACTAAAGCCTTACACACACGCTTAACGTAGCTGAAGGAGGACTTTCTGTCCTTGACCTTATTTTTATCAATTCAGTATGCTACTGATGGTTCTCATTCAATGTATAATCAAATCTGACATCTTCCCAACAGAACTAGTACTTATCCAACTATTCCCCTGCTACTTCCTCTATAAGCACAGTACCTTGTATTTGTCCCTAGAAAATTGGATTGTGTTTTTCCAGTCTTCAACTTGTTAAGATAATTTTGAACTTTATTTCTACCATGCAGCATATCTCCGTTTCCCCCAGCCTGTTCTCACGTATAAATTTAACAGATGAAACGAATCTTATTATTCAGGCCATTAATGTTGAAAAATACTTCAGGGAGAACTGACTCCTGTAGAGCACCAGTTAGATCCTCTTACATGAGAATAAACCTTTATGAAATCCACACACATTTTTCAACTAATCTCCTGTCTTGTCTAGCACATCAGAAATTTCAGTCCATTCCTACGTCTTCCTGATGTTACTAGCTGGAGGGAAGGTATTGTCAGAGGACTTAAAGTGCGGATGTATCTACAAAACTGATTTTGTACTGAAACTAACTGCAGAGGTTTTGCCAGTATGGCTCAACTACAGCTTCTGAGACAAGTTTGCTTCTTCAGCCACTTTTAAGTGCTACAGAACTTGCTGCTGGGACCGGCATGGTTCTGCAGTATTCGAAATCCTGGCTGACACTTTGTATTCTTCCAAGAGTGATTTTCATCAAAACTTACAAGCTTGACATTCCATGAAAACCTTTTATTTCTTTTTCAGTCAGAGCTTAAAGTGCTTTCTCTGTAACAGCAAAGCAGCCTTCTACAATTACTTTCGAGTGACTCCTGCACCCCCCCTTAAAAGAAGAAAACATTGTGGGGCAGTCATTGGTTGATGTAAACAAAGATTTTAACAGCTGCAGCAAACTGTCCTATTACCAATTTAATTTTCAAGTTTCTATATATGTAGAACTGTTAAATAAGATGCATACTGTGTTAAGTCACCCTAGAAGATACACATCTGGACAGTGTGTTTTAGGGTATATGACAACAAGAACTTTCATAGCAAAAATGAACAAAAATACTTACAACTGAAAAAAACCAAAACATATGTAGCCAGGGGATGAGAAGGTATTTGTTAGTGGTAAGCAATAAAACAAGCTTACTGTTTTATAATATAAAAGGGAAAATTCTAATAGTCCTATCAAATAAGTACATGGTATAACACCACCATATAAATAATCAGCACCGGATCTAGTACAGACAATTATATGCAATAGATCAGAATAGTAAATACAAACTAAGTTACATATAGCTTGTTATTTTCTGCTGCACAAATGACATGAAATAACGTTCACGGTTCTGTGTGTGCCACAGCTGAAAAAAATTGAAGATTTTTATGGTTTTAGATATCCCTCACTCTCCCAATTTTATTAATGACAGTTGTAAACTCACAAACCCATGATTATTCCATAAGCAGAGGTCAGCTTTGTCAGGAAAATTAGTAAAAGTATATCAGCAGCTTTGTAGGGGGAATAATAATCTGTGAAACATTTGCATATTGTACCTCTTGAAATGTGGAGGTTGGTGGTGTGGCAAATAGTGTTGCAGCTATTTTTCTTTGGTACCATGGCATTTCAGCAAAGGAGTAACACCTGGAGCAAAAGGAAACATTTGTGTATACCCTTTACATTTTTCTCTTGTTTTCGAGTAACGTTCTCATATTGTGGACTTCGTAATTGTTGCTTCCAAGAGTCAGAACAACTCCAACCACACTGAAAATTCTATAAGCAAGTTCTTACAACTGTACAACAAAATAGCAAGGCGTTTGAAGTTGCTGCATAGCTCTGCTAAAGAAGTTTTGCTGTCTTTTATTGCTATTACATTAGACAAAACTGGAGACAGGTGCTAACCATGAGACAGCTTTTAAGCTTGAATGATTTTAATGATTTATGTTATTTGATATTGTTCTAGCATATTTGCAAAAAAGGGCACAACTGAGTAATGTCATTGCCTTGCCTCAACATTACCTTGTTTTTCTCAATTATTAATATAAAGCAGATCTGCAGTATGTTCCTGAAAGACTCTGATCTGTAAGAATGAAAATAAACCCAAGAATCAAACTACTGTGTTCTAGGCTAGGCCATTCTATGCTGTTTTCCTATCTACTGAATAACAAAGGTAATCAGTCACCTATCTTGGAGATGCTGAAAGGATTTAAATTTTTCAAGTATGTAGAACTGCCGGGTGTAAACATTAAATAACACTATTCACTTTATTACCCTCCCACAATGAGTACAAAACCAGTCTTCACTGTGTAAAATAGAGCACTCTATAGGACGTGAAAAATTAATAAATGCAAATATGAAAGTGTTCGGAGGAGAGAGGGAGGCAAGACATGGAATACAGTCTGAGTTGAAATTTTGCTATCAGATGTGCCTTATGAGAAATGCCAATAAAAGAGGTTCAGTCCAGGATAGACTAGAAAGAGAAACTAGAAAAATACTCAAGAATTGGCTAATACCAAATTCCAGTTTCAGATGGAGATGCTCTGGGATTCAATAATGGGTATATTTAAATATAAAATATGGGGATATTTTAGTGCTCAAAGCAATAGTAATCTCACATTTCTGATCATCTTTTCTAATTTTCCTTAGGAACAATGTCTTAAGTACTTTCCAGCACAGGCTTCGTATCTCAAAACTGACCTTGAGGCTCATTCAGTTGGTAGCATACACCTCTGTTTTAAAATGTGGACTGTAGCAATGGTTAGGTCATGTGGGAACAAGTGGTGGACGCTGAAAAACTGAAGTAAGTTTGTAAACTAGTAAAAAAACCTGTGGAGCAGTAGATTGTAGTTTAATACTCCAGAGTCCAGAAAAAAACATAGAGAAGGTGGCTGTGGTTTTTAGTATTTTCTTTATAAGCTACAAATACATTGTCTTTGTTTATTTTCAAACTCGCAGTCTTACAGTAGAGATTTCCTGTAAAACAATGCAGCAGCTTTGGTCTCTTTCAGACAAATAACCAGAAATGCTGTCTGGAGTCTCTCACTAACACATAAAAGATACTGCTGCTTTCAACTACACTGCTTCCACAGAATGCCCTGGTTACATGGGAAGTTGTATTTCTAGTCCCTTCGCCTGCTCTGTAACAGTAATTCTTAGTACCAATTTTACTGAGCAGCAAATTCAATTTCAGAGATTTTTGTCAATGCATATGCATTTATAAGCTGTCCTCACTTAAATATAACTTTTAAAATACAGTACCATGACAGATAATAATGGAAGTATTTTAGGAACACATCTCACTTTTGATAGTTTTTCACTATACGCAGGTTGTATTAAGTTGCAGCCATCACTGAAATTCAATGTAAATTCAGTGTTGAGTTTTGTCTCCATTCATACCAGTAGAACAAAATGAGTAGTACTCACAATCTCTAGTGTCTGCTATGGAAACACACATGTCTGCAAAATTAGTTTTTCATAGTTCCATACAGTAAAACAAATACATTGAATGAACAAATATTTTTCATCTTTTTGAAATGCATAAGAATTAACAGCCAGACTTTTTCAAGGCATGACATCCTGTACCTGTTCAATAGGTCTCCATGTTTGCATCAACTAATTGCAAGCCACTGAATTATTCCAAGCATTTCTGCAATTCATATAAGACACTTTATATTCTGGCTTTTATTTTTTTTGCCACATGCTAACTTTTGTTTGAAAATAGAACTTACCAAATGCCTATAAGATGAATTGTTGTAGCATCTTTTGGATTCAGTTCAACGGCTCTCTAGTGAGGGGGAAAAAAACCACAAGATGTAAAAAGTTGCTCTGCCACATTTGGATTAAAATACATTGAAAAAATTAGACTTGTTATCCTATTGTTAATTAAACAGGACTAACTGTGTGTAGAATTTCAAGCCAATATGGTGTTTATTCAGTGCACAACTAAATCTGCTCACCTCCAAAAAACCGAAGACACTGACAGATTTCTAAGCAGTTTTGTTTAGTAAGTCATTAGTTTCACATGAGACTTGGCGTGTTCAGATTTTTATATAATCTCTGGTGACAGAAAATCAGTAGTCCTTTGTTTTCTCCAGTATTTGTCCTTTACTGCTACACAATCCACAGTTAAAAGGACAGCCACACATCCATTTCTCAACAGCACAGTTACATTTTATCTAGTCCTAAGAGCTGTCAAAACCACTTCAGTTATTTCAAGCCACTCTTCTATAGGAACTTCATTTACTGCAGATAATTTGTTCTCCTTGTTGCTGGGGCATTTCAGCACTGTCGCAGTAACCCCAAAACCAAAGAGTCACCAGGATATTTGAAGAGAAGTACACTTGCAAGTTTTCGCCAAAAAATAGTTCACAACTGTCACACAATTTACCTACTGGATGCATTAATGCTGTCATATGCAAAAAACCGTGTACATTACCTGGAAGTGCTCTTTGATAACAAAGGCATTTCCAATTTTAGTCTTGATTCCTTCAAAATCTCCAACATCGCTGAGGCAAATTCCATACCACTGTAATTCAAAGAATGAAAATAAAAACATTTAATAAAATGCTATAGCTATTAATAGTAAATAAAAAAACCCAAACAAAACAAACAAAAAACCAACAAACAGAACCGCTTCCATCACCACTAATGACAACAAGCAAGAAGTATTCCTTATGAACAGCTCAGGCAGCATCAGAGCAACCTGCTGGTCTGCGCACATAAGGGAATTAATGTCCTCTTCTTATCAGGGATGCCAACACAAGTGACTATACTTTGTTACCTCTCTGCCTGAGAGAAGCAGCACAAAAAAAAAAAAAAGAAGAAAAAAAAAAAAAAGAGTAGAACAAAGCCAGAGCCTGAAGTATTTCCAGTGAAACTCTACAGAGCTACTGCTGCACACAAAACCAGCATGCTGAGTGTGGGGCAGCATGTATAACATTTTCAAGGCTGCATCAGAGAAGGATAAGCTGACTACATCGGCTGTTACCAGCCTAATCAGTCACCTTTTTCGACAGTCCTGCACACATTTAACCAGTTCCTGTTTCATGCATAGAGGAAATTTAGCTGCAAAAGTCTAAACTCTGATCTTCCAAAAAAGTTAGGGAGAATTACAAGTCACACTCATTCTCAACTAAAAAGTTAAATTAGCTGAAGTCTGCTGAAACAGGACAATGACATTTGTTCCAGTTCCTACTGACAGAAATCAAAGAACAAGATTTCAGTTATTTTGCTTGGCTCACCTTGTGTGCTGCAAAATTTGATTCATTTTTTTCCAGTGCCTTTTTTGCATACTCAAGGGCTTCATACGCCAGTTGTTTTTTCTCCTCTGCAGAAGTACTACTAAGCTGAGCTAGATCTCGCGATGCCCGTGCCAGCCGCCATAACAACTCTGCGTCATCACTAGTTATGAACAGAAACACTAACATTTTAAAGCAATAATGGAAAAAAAGCAAGCAAAGGTCTTAAACCAGTCTTTCAATATGTATCTCAAGTGGGTGATGAGACAACAGCATATCATCTGTCATTCTATGCTACATACAATCCCATGGTAACAAACAACAAAGAAAAGCCCTCCGACTGTCTGACGATACCTTCATTCTGCCATTCTGGTCTGTGAAGCAAACATATCTGTAGGAAAGGACTTTGTTTTCTTAAAAAAAGATGCAGATTTAAAAAACCCAACAGTACCACTCAAAACACCAGGTGGAAAACGAAGACTACTTTGGTGTTAGCTAGATGGTATTTTTTCCAGCATTCCACTGATTCGATATTAATGTTTACTAGGAATGTTAAAATATTATGCTTCTTTTCCCCCTACAATTGTATCTAAATAATAAAATTCTTTCTAGAACAGTGAAACAAACATAGATTAGCCCCACCACCACCACATAAAGCTGTACATTTATATATTTATTTATATCACTGTATCAAATGGTGTATCTTATATTAGAGCCAAAGATAAGGGATTTTAAGTTTTATTATTTTGTTAATGTATTTTTTTGAAACACTGCTTGCACTTTACAATACTTTTAGCTAACTACCATTTTAATTTTGGCTTACTATTTTAATAGAGACTTTAATATTAAATTTAATTTTAGAAAGTCTTTCAGAGATTCTGGCTATCTGACTATAAAACTTTCCCTCCTCCCGCAACAGGAATACTGGTCAAAACTACCAGAAACCAAAAATGTAAAAAGTGTACATGAGTTATTGCTAAACTCAGAGTATCAATAAAAGCCAGTTTTCTTATCTGAAGTAAAACTGAGTCACTGCTCACAGCACAGCAGTCCTGCTCCAATTGACACAGTAACAGAAACTCATTTTTCAGCCAAGTCACAAAAATGGCAAGTACTGCTACTGAAATCATGACTCCTCACAGAAAAGTTAGTATTGTTATACGCCTAGTAGCAAGTTTACACCTTGCTTATGACATGGTGTCCCTTACAGACTAGGACCTTCATTTAACTTCCCAGGCTTTATACTTGCACCCCTGGCAAGAATGAGAGAAAAAAAACCTAACTGAAAACTACTGAAAACAACTGAACAGTTGATTTCCTCCAGAAATGTTCCAGGAGTGAGATGCCTTATCTCCTCCAAAGGAATGGGCTCTTCAGTTTGCAATGCATTTTCTGCTTTTTCCTTAAACAGCTTGTCCCAGATGGCTTATCAATAACGTTTTGTGCAGTTAAGATATTAACTACTTAAGTAAGGAGCTTTTTTTGGTTCAGACTCAAATCCTAATGCGAGACAAACGAAAACAAAAAGAACAGCTGGTCAGCAATGAAAAAGAAATGAAACAGCGACTCTTAAAAATTTTCAATGCTTGAACTCTACGTACTTTGATCATTTACTAATGTGTAAACACATTAGAGTAACAAAACAAACAAGCAGAAAACCCTCCTTTGCAGGACTGAAAAACCTGAGTGTCAACCCTTATCTTCTACAGCTACCAGTCCTTTCTTCATACATTTTTCCATGAGGAGGAAAAAGACCAAGAGTTCTTCTTTCCTACTTACTTAAGGATGAAAGCAAGGTTCTCCAGCATACCACAATGAGAACATTAGTTGACAAACTGATGCAGAAGAGTACAGAAAAGAAGTCACAGTAATGTCTCAATGCAATCAAGTACCTATTTTTATGCTGAACCAGCAACCGATAGAGCTTTTCAGTTTCTCCACTCCCATACAGGTAGTCTGCTTGCTCTATAACTTCTTCCACTTAAGAAGGAATTAAAATTGTGGAAACAGAAGAACAAATTACATGCAATTAGGACATTATAGCATAAACAAAACATTTTAGAGCAAGATAACCTAGCCGAAACACAAACGATGTAGTTCCTTCTTAGGCCATCTTTCCAAACAACTTACACACACAGCAGGATTGGATAAACTACATTTACAATAAACAACCAGGAAGAGAAACAGTGCTGAATACACACCTCTCATGAAACTACAAAACAGCTTTCAGTAACAGAGCTTTGGATGCTTAATGGGTTTAACATGCAAAAGTATCTTTCTCAGTGCATCAGACTACTAGAAGAAATTTATTTTCTTCTTTGTGAAAATGGCAGGAAAAAAACCTGGTATGAAAAATATGACCGGGAGGGCATGTGCAGTAGAGATCTGAGAGTAACAAACCCCCTTCATTAGTGTATGTACAGAACGTAAATCCAATAGTAAAAATTAAAAAAAAAATAAAATAAATTTCATTCTCAATGTGGTTCCACAGTTTTGCCAGGATATGACTGGAGATGGAGTTGGTCCCTTTATCTTACTCAACAAGCCAAAATGAAACATTGCTTAAAGGTTTTCTGACTGAAGTCCTTAAGATTTACAGAAACACGACTCCAAAAAATATAGTTCACCTACTGAAACCTTTATGTGTTCAAGATACTGAAAGCAAAAATAATTTTGAAAACCAAAATTGGCTTTCTAGAGTATCAATCTAAGAACTAAGTACCCATGTTTCTTATGATACTTAAATTTCTTTTCCTAGAAAATACTTCAAAATAATACAGAGATGGGGAAATATGATTTCTGCAACTGGCTGAATATAGTAATACATAAATAAATATAATATGTATAGTACATAAAACAGCATTCCAGAAACAAAAATATCAAACACCATACAATACAGGATTCTAGCATAAGAACACAAGAGATTAGGAGGAAAAATACCCAAAGGTAAGCATGTAGTTAATGCTATTGAAGTATATAACGGTACAGGAGAAGAACAAACTCTAAGTTTACTCTTCTGCCAACATTAAGACATGAAAAAAATTCCCTTTTAAGTCAAAGGCCTTGTCTAATTTCTTACAGAACTTTCAGCTATGCTTATCATCACTTTGGTATTACTCCTGGGTCCACGATCAAACTTCTAAGTCAAAACATAAGCTCTACCTCCCCTTTGTAAAAATTAATCATGTTTATAAGCTTCCTTTTTTCAAGTTATCTACTGAATATGGTAGTCATGTTTCACAGCATCACAGTTTTACTTATAGAAATAAAAAACACTGAAGGCTATTAAATACAAAAGCCTCATCTTCAGCTTAAAAATACCCTAGAATATAAATCGCTGAAGATCAGGAGAGCATTCTGGATAATTTTTAACTCTGCTATCTCTAAATGCCTTCTGTCAACCATTTCAAAGATAAGATAAGATAATGGTCTACGTGGACTTTGGATTTTAGTGTCCGAGATTAGCTTCACGATACATCTTCAGTATTATCTTTAGTGTTTTGCTTGTTGAGACTACCTGAACACTACTAACATATCTAATAACTAAATGCTCAGAACTCAAACTTCTGAACACACTTCCCACCAGGCGTTTTACGTAAATTATTAGACTTCTATTTCTGTAAGAGTGTCTTTCAGGTATTTCCTTTTTCCTCTTATTTTCACCATATCTACTACTTGTCTTGCATAGAAAGCCCACTAACGTTGCTTTTCTTGGCAATGTAAATGTCAGATTCAAATGAGAGCACTAAAACAGAGCACAGGCAACTAAGTAGTGTTATTTATGTTTCTCATGGGAAATTTCTTATTTTTGTACTGAGTAGCTATCAAATCTATTCACTGAAGCTCCTTCTATTACAGTTCTAAAACAGTTCCTTATCTGTCCAAAAGTCTATTGTCTGAATTTTTATTTCTATAAGCATAAACATCTAAGGTGTTCCTCTCTTTGAGACACAGAGAAACAAGTTATCTGAACTGACTACTATCCTACCTACACAGTAAGCAGACATTTCAGCTCACTCTCTATTCAGGCAGGCTTACTCTCAAAGGCCCTTAATCTACAACTTGATAGACAAGGTTAAGTGCTGCAATAATATCCCCTTTAAAGATAATATTACTCTTCTTCCAGTAGTAAGCCTATCTTTATTCAGATCTTAAAAAGGACATTTTATCACTATTCTTTTTTGGTAGGTAAAGCAAGGCTTTTCTTCCCTCCCCCTCCCCCTTTCAGTCTTACAAAAATACAAGCCATTCCTCAACTTTATTTCAAATGCAATCTCAGTGTTGCTTGACTAGATTAAATGGGAATCACACTGTGTTCATATAGAAAACCTGAACTAAGATTTCTATAAATTGATTAAGGTTCGGTCTGCATTCCTAACTGAACCATATCTTTCTCAATAAGAGTTATTTAAATGATGGGCAACAAATTAGGTATCATACACCTTCTGCACGTGTTATATCCTAGACTGGATGAGCTACTAGTTCTGCTTTCAGTGACACTTGAAAGAATCACTCATTAAACTGCTACAAGGCTACCATGAACCAATTCAAAAGCAGCCCATCATGGAAACACACTGCATGCAGTCTTAGTGGAGAAAATCAAAAGCATTACACCATTTTCCTATACAATTCCAGCACTAAAAAATTTAAGTTTCACATTAGAATAACTTATGTACTTCAAAATTTGAATATATTACCTTTGAAGCTCGCATGAACCTCAGCAAAGCCAGAAATCAGCTTCTGAGCTTCATAAACCAAAAAGGACCCCGCTGAAAGCACAACCCCCCTTTGAAGGCTTTTTCTAAGCACCTGCATGGGATCATAAGATTAATTAATGTTTAATTAGCATTAATAAACATTGTCATTCTGAATTAAAAAAGTTTTTCTTGTCTCTACTACAACTTTTATTTCAGATTTTTGAACAGAGAAAAGACTTTTAAAAGTGAAAAAAAACACCTTCAAAAGGAAAAAAAAACCAAACCACCACACCATCAGGAGGGTATTTTCTTCTGAAGATTTTTTTTTTTTTTTCTAACAGAGGATCAGAATGACGCTTCAAAATACGAACAGAGCACTAGACTGAACCCCCTC